TGACTGGAGCAGGTTTTTTTCAATGAAATGATGGCAAGAAAGGGAAAATTTGCATATTTAAAATGAAGAAAAAAGTGTAAGCAAGATATGAACTGATGAGAAAAATTTATTTGATAAATCTTGCATCTTGAGACATGATTGAAATATAAAAAAAAATAAAATTTAGAAAACATGAGGTGAGGCACCTGCCACAAACTTACAACAATACTTACAGCAGTTATTCAATCATTTTCATATATTTAAAATGATTACAAACATAGCTTTTTACAGACCTATACAAAACTCAACAAGATAACCGTGTGTAAGATCAACCATATAAACTGGAAGTTGAACTCAATACCCTGCATTCTATATTTACAGCAATAGACCTTTGTATTTTTACTAATTGTTACAGAATGCAGAATTGCAGTATTCACTAAATCACTAACATCAGTTACCACAGATATGCCTGCATAAAGAAACTCATGACACATTGTAACTTAGAAGTCAGCCACAGCGTGATTTCCCCTTAGGGAAGCCATGCTGGCTGTCACCAACCACCTCCTTGTTTTTCATGTGCCTTAGCATGCCTTCCAGGAGAATCTGCTTCAAGATTTTGCCAGGCACGGAGGTGAGACTGACTTGTCTCTAGTTCCCTGGGTCATCCATTTTCCCCTTCTTGAAAATGGGGGTTATATTTCCCTTTTTCCAGCCATTGGGAACTTCACCGGACTGCCATGATTTTTCAAATATGATGGCCAGTGGCTTAGCAACTTCATTTGCCAGCTCCTTCAGGACCTGCAGATGGATTTCATCAGGTCTCATGAACTTGTGCACATTCAGGTTCTTAAGATGATCTCAAACCTGATCCTCTCCTAATTGGGCCTAAGGTCTTCATTCTCACAGTCCCTGCATCTGCCTTCCAAGACTTGAGCAGTGTGGTCAAAGCACATGCTGGTGAAGACTAAGGCAAAGAAGTCACTGAGAACCTCACCCTTCCCCAAGTCCAGGGCAGACAGAAACAGGTGTTTTTTCCAGAGTATAAAGGTCTCACATGGGTATTCTCTTGCTTTCCTTGTTTCTATTCATTCCACTTCCTAAAGCCTGTCGATCAGGATCGGTGCCAACTTTCTACAAGCAGATCCGTAGCAATAATTGCTGTGACTATACTGCAGTTAAGTCTGATAAACACTGGTGTACATCATTTATACAGTGCCAGCTGGAAGATGACAGATTTCTCTTACCATGCAGCTAGTGCCCAGAATACGTAGTCCTTCCTTCCAATTGTCTAGAAATGAGAGACATCCCACAGCACATTTTAAACATTGTAGCCATGCCACTCCATTTGTCAAATTTCTACGCCCTCAGAGATAGTTGTTCCAGATGACATATTATTTCTAAAGAGTTCTTTCTCCTTTCTCCTATTTGCATTGTATCTATTGCTAGCATCAGAAACCAAAAATGTAGCACCTTGAATTCATCATCTCTGGTTTTGTTTGTTTGTGTGGTTTTCAAGTTTGAAAACCTCCAGCAGTTCCAAGAGTCTAATAAAAAACACTTCTCTCAATTATCTCTACATCAACCTCTGTGTATCAATGGGCATGGAAACATTTTGATGTAAATATTTCACTTTTGATTTTATATAGCATTGACTGCTTGACATTAAATCAATCAGCTTCTAAAAAGCATAAAAAGGAGTAACTGCCCTAGGCACTTCCCACAGAAATTTTATATTAATTCTCCCATCCTTACGCAGTGCTCATGCTACAAAGATGCTACATGTCTGTACTTCTATAATGCACAGTATGATCAACAATAATAGTGAAAATAGTGGGCTGAGTAAACAGACAACCCTCTGCTTAAGTGTCCTGTGTAGTCTCTCTTCCCAGATAGCAAAGGAACAAAGGAAACAGCAGTGATAGTAGAATGTACATGGATGCTCTGCTTTACTGGACCTTCTTCATCTTTGCTTAAAACCTGCAGTCTTCTATGCTGCAGTCATATACCTTCTCAGGAGGTAGTAGAAGCTAAGTTTCTTTCAACCCTTACAGTCTTGGCAGAACTGTATCAAGGAATAATAATTAAAAATAATTTAAAAAACGAGAGCATGGAATTGTTGCTGATCTGTCCACTAGAAGGAGGCACCTTATTTCCTCCTTCCAGAACAGTTTATACGCTTGCATATGATGCCAGAATCGTTGTTCTAGAGACATGAAAAAAGCCTGTTATCTTCCACTTGCAAGACCAAAAAACCATTAGGTGGATTTAATGAGAAATGGATGGACAATAAAAGGAAAACTATTCCATCTCTGGTATCTGCAGACTTTGGGAAGATCCTGCACTTTACAATTTTTCATTGCCTATTGCACAATAATTATTTTAAATTGAATAATCAAAGCACTGCTCCACTCATAGGGTTCTCAGAACAGATTTTTTTTATGTTTTTTTTTAAATTGCTCCAAAATAAATAGCATTGATTCCACTTGTCTGGAAGGAGACTTGAAATTCAGCATTTACATGTAGGTGAATCTGTCCCAGAATGCAGCTGCTTCCTTTGTATACAGAAAATCAAAAGTAGTTTCTGTTTATCTCATTCAGTTTCGGTCCAAACTATCATGAATACTCAGTTTAGGATGCAAAAGTTTGGCCTGGAACTTTCCCTGATTTACTTTGGGAAAAAAAAAAAAAAAAAAAAAGCCCAATACTTTGTCTGTACTAAGGCCTTGAAATGTTATCATTTAGAGCTGCCTTTTCTGAAGACTTCATTTATATTCACAGTTCTTAAGAGACTCAAGTGCTACAGATTGGTCATAGCATAAGAAAGAAACAAAAAAAGAGTGAAACCTGTCATGCCTGAACTACCGCATGCTCCCAAACCAAGAAGTTTGGCTCTAAAAATACGGATACTTTGGCAAAAATGCTGCTCTTTTGCGCTGCACATATGATTTGCAGCAGTTAAACTGGACTTTGTGAAACAAACAAACGAATATTAATATAGGTAGATACCTCAACTCCTGGGAATGTCCTGAACGTCCATTAGTGTTGCAATACTTTACTTTTTTAAAACAGGATAGGACCCTAAGGTTGTCTGAGGTAGCATCGAGTTATTTGAGTAAGAAATAGGAGCAGAATCAGATGTGCCTCAAATGAAACTGATTAAATAATCAAAAGGGCAAGCAAAGAAACATCACATTTTACAATCAGTTAGTTCTGACATTCAACTTCTTCAACTGTTATGGCCCTTGGCAGAGAGATGAGGGCTGTTGCTTCTTCTCTACGAACCCCAAAATGAGAACTTTGGTTGGTTTGGAACAGTATCTTGCAGAACACATGCGTGCACATTTCAAGATCAGAGAGTCTTGTGAACACATTTCAAGAAACTCTGAAGACAAAAAGTTCTACTTTCACCTGAGTTTTCACATTTGTTTTTGCTCTCCCCACCTCCTCCCCTTTCCTCTTCCCATCTCCCTTTAATTTAAAAAACTTTTAACACAGTGTGGAAGTATCATTTTATGTTCATTTTCAGCAATGTGGAAGTTGTGCATAAAAAAGTGTTTCTATCAGTTAATAAAGGGAAAACCTTATCTTAAGAGAATTAAGAACAGGTCCATAGTGGTGTTAAAACACAAACCTATCAGTTTTCCCACTTCCGTTGGCTAGACTGTGAAGAAGTTTTAAAAGGTAACAGAAGGAACAATCATGGAAGATAACAATCAAGGTAACAGAAGGAACAATCAAAGAAGTTTTAAAAGGTAACAGAAGGAACAATCATGGCATTGGAGATAAGAACTCTAAATATTACAGAGGTTTGCTAACACCAGGCTAGATCTAGGAGAGAAATAAACACCTTATTTGTTATATATGTACGTACTGTTCTTAGCTCTCTGCAACAGTAACACCAGGACAGTTTGTACTGATTAAAATAGCTACTGAAAGCATGAAAAAAAAAATATTTGTGGGTTGGTTTTTGTTTGTTTTTAATAAAAAAAAAACAACATTAGAGAAAAATGAAAGAATTCTCTTTGTCACCATAGATTTGCTGGTATAGAAGGAATAAAAAATAATTTAAATCATACTTTTTACAGATTTTCATCTGAATTCGGTAAAGCTGACTAATCATCTGCAATCCCTATAAACAGGCACTCAGCAGTTAATGCTACAAAATCAAGTAATGCCATGTACTATCACAGTACAAGACTAATCACCAGTTACAAAAGCAGAACTGAATCTGAAGAGTGTGATATTTCATGAAGTGTCTCCAAAGTCAGTTTCCATTCATCTCCAGGTGACAGAATGAAACATTCAGGTCATTTTATTACTAGGATTTACTCCTTCCAGTACTATCTAGACAATACACTTTGGCAGTACATTCATACCCTCACCTCTGAAGGATAGTTGAAAAAAATGGACTTTTTCTTTTACAGTCTTAAAAAACTTCTTGCCAAAGTAAGGATACAATTCAGGTGATGTCTATTTGAAATGGAAGAAACCTTCACCTTTTCTATGTATTATACTGGGGGGGAGTGAGGGGGGAGAAAGGAGGGCAGGAAATCCTGTAGGAGGGCTTAACCTCCTCTAAAGAACATTTATGCAACTTTTGAAGGTCGCTGTTAACTGGGCAAATTTCTGTGTAAATGCTGATCACACAAAGCTAAGCTACCCAGGGCAGAACTAAAATGTAAATCAAGTGCATTCATAAAGCATTGGGGTCTGATCAACAGTTGATGCAATAAACTGTTTCTCGTGTCAGTTCTGTTTCACTTATTTCTTTTTCCTTCATTCGCAACTGTTATACTCCGCATACTCACATTACCACATACTTGCCTTTTCTGATTAAAAAATCATAAACACAATACTCATACATTATGTGAAAAAGTCTGTATTTAACAAAATCAGGACTATGATAATGCCCATTTGAAAAGAAAATGTATTTAACTTTCCTGGAGAGAAACTTCTCTTTTAAAACTACATTGCGCTTTCAGCATTACAAAGTGAATTTGTTATGTTTAGAAAGGACTTACCACGTAAAACAGTGAGTCTTGTGGACACACTAATTTCACCAACGCTATTGGCAGCCACACATTCATAAATAGCTTCATCTCGTGGCGTGCGCAGTGGTTGTATTCTGAGAACTGATCCAGATCCATCATCGAATTCTATTACCTATAGAAGGAAACAAAAGCTGTCACAGATGTTGTTACAAATGCCTATCCCTTAGTTAATCTGTTCATGAACATCCCTGTTTGTGTTCACACCTGCTGGTATTCATGTCTTCAAAGACAGGTTCATTTTTCAAATACATGTACTAGGACAAATTCCACACAGATGGAAAAAAAAAACAACACAAAAACAAACCAACCCAAGAAACCATCTAACAAGAGCTGTAAGAAATGATTCTGTAACTTAATGCTCTTTTATCCTGAAGTTCACCAATAACCTCCTTCCATTCTCTTTGCTTAAGTAATCTACCTCCAAATGCCAGTTACATTCATTTTAATTGCTGTAGGCTATATTCCCACTCCACTCACAGAGTTCAGTTTACTTACTCATTTAGCTCCAAACTGAGTAAGAGTCATCAGCTTCTGAACAAGATAGTTTAGATATGCATTTAACCCGAATAACATAAAGAAAATGTATCCAACAATATGCTAGAAAACATGTGATCAGTTGAGGCTAAATAATAAGGCTAAACTTTAAAATTGCAATATTTATGCAAAAAAAATACTGATTTTCATATGAGAAATAATTAATTTAATGCTTTTATTTCCTTCCTGCTCTGCAGTCAGAATCACATCAGCTATTGCTGAGTACTGCAGCACTCCAGGCACTGGAAAAGCCTTCCTAATAATTCAGTACTATCTATCTACTTTAAAAATATATATGCATTTGTCAATAATATATATTAGTACCACCATCAGGAAATGCACTTCTCAAGAAAGGACAGTCTTTTTTTTTCTTTAAATTTTTTTGTATATAAAAAAATCTTATTTGACCATAATCTATATATACATACCCACAAAAAAATTACATATATGCCTATTTGCACGTGTTTGTGTATGTATGTCTAACTTATACACAAGCAACCTACTAGATCTTCTAAGAGAGAATATAGTGGAGGGTTAGGAACTACGGTCGTATGTTCATTATCTTCCCATTTTCATTGTAGGAATTGCTCAGTTTCTTCTTAGCAATGGGAGAGGTCTAAGCGAGAATAAGACAAAACACTGGCTTTTTTTCTGATAACATAGTCTACTAGCTGTATTATTTTTCCTTGTTAAGTAAAGCCATTATCCTTATTAAATGTAAACACCATAAAATCTCCATCTGATCTTAGCAAAAATGAAAGAATAGAATTCTTGTTAAACTGACATTAATGAGGGAAAGAAAAATTTCATAATCTTAAAGCAGACAAACTAATGATTTGTAGAGAAAAATGAAAGCATGGGTTCCAGATAATCACAATCATTACTTAAAAGTAAGTACTGGTTATGTTAAATTCAGAATACCAAATAAAATCTTAGCTGGATGGACAACAAAAAAACAGTTGCAGAAGACTGGATTGGGTAAATATTGCAGAGATTAAGTTTCAAGTATGGTGTGCCCAAAATGTGTATCCTAAAATGCATTTACTTTTCCTGTGATGAGTTATCTCCTTTCCTGCACATCACAGACAGTCAATTCCTCCCACTACTCCATCTCATGAATGAGATTTTATTTTTCTTCTAAAGCATGGATTTTTTAATAAAATCAGGCTCATACCACAGGGTAGAATGGTACAGTTTTTTAAATATGTTTTTTTCTTTCTCTGATTCTTGTAAAGTTCATCTGAGAAAGACTTCTTAGTAACTTAAAGTAGATTTTCCTAATTCATAATATTTTAATTGGTTTGAAGTAAGAGGAGAAAAATAATCTTCTTGTATCATGTTCATTCATACTTGCAATGGAAATAAAATATGAAAGAATAATAGTGAAGTGCCACAAGGTCTTAACTGCAGCCTTTAATTTCAAAAACAATCTACAGCTCTCACCACTATTCTCACTCATTTGCGAGAATTAGCCTGTGAGTAAGAACATTCCACATTTAATGATAATAATCTTCAAATGTATAAATGGGTTACTGTCAAAAGAGAGGGAATAAATTATTTGTTCCGCCACTGCTAGATAGCCAACTGCTATGTCCTTCAAGTTCCAGAAAAAAAGTTCAGGTTCCACATGAAAAAAAAAAAAACAAAACAACAAAAAAAACAAAACTCTTGGCAAGGTTCATGAAACACTGTAGGAGGCTGTCCAAGTTTATTAGGGGGAAGGGAGATAAACCCCAGCATCCCTGGGAAAGCATATGGATTAGATGGCCCACTGAAGTCCTTTGCATCTGTATTTACGGGGCTTCTGTGAAGATACATGGCCAGGTAAAACATTTTCATAGCTTTTATTGCTAAGTAACCAAACTCAGAGAAATATACAAACTACTAATGCGAAAGAAGAGGAAAAGAAGCCATATTAATTAATTCTTGTAGTGTTGCAGCTGACAGTCTTAGATGTTTCTTGTTTCCCAGATGTTCCATGTGCCATTTCTATTGTTCTGCTCTTATTCAGAGGTTCTAGAGCATGAATTAATGACCTTAGTTTGGACAGGAAGGAAAGCCGCTTGAAATATTGATGTACTCTACACACTTTGTAACTACTCTGCTCAGTGTTTATAGTAAAAATTATAAAATAGTGGGCAAGTGTATTCTATTTCTTTGAATTACATTCCATCTGCTATACAGCTTGTTACACAATTCACTAAAGGCACTTTTAAAACATTTTACATTATTTTTTTAGGGTTCCATTCAAACATTTTTCCATGGAACTAAAACTGGTTAATTTTTTGCTTATTCTCCTTAAAACCAGGTACATGGGTACATAGAAAACAATATGTGAAGCAAATAAACCATAATACACTGCAAAATAAACCTGACCCAATATAGTAAATATGTTCATGCTTGATCCTTCACTGTTTAGAACTCAACCTGAGTGAAAATTTTGTGACCAGGAGGGGATAAATTGTGTAGCACCTACGATAAAATTTCTAGATTAATTCCTCTAGCCAATTACAGCTCTGCGCATGCTCTGCAAAGTGCAAACAGTTCATGGCACTAGGAGATCCCATGAAAATTCATGCTTCTATTTCTTACATTGTAATAAACATACAGGAAAAGACTTATTGGTTAATGAACAAATTCCAACACCTCTAAGTATTTTTTGAACAAAAATAGAATGACAGAAATTTAGTTCATACAAGCAATGCAATTATTTTCTGCTGATGTGAATCTAACTTGAAAGCCAGGGCAAATAATTTTCTCAAATACCAGTAAAAACACAGAATACATCTTAGATAATTTGCTCCTAAAATGCATGTCACAATTGTTTTATATACAGATTAGTGATCTTCCAAATAGTTGTTTTCTTAATGCAGAATTCTGTTAATTAACATTGAAGGTAGTAAACAGAAAGAGGGAAACTTATATACTTGGCAGTGTTGGTTGATGAGAAACTGAACATGAGCCGGCTTCAGTGCATGCTTGCAGCCCAGAAAGTCAACCGTATCCTGGGCTGCATCAAAAGAAGCGTGACCAGCAGGTTGAAGGAGGTGATCCTGCCCCTCTGTTCTGCTCTCATGAGACCTCATTTGGGAGTATTGTGTGCAGTTCTGGTGTCCTCAACATAAAAAGGAGATGGAACAGTTGGAAAAAGTCCAGAGGAGGGCCACAAGGATGATCAGGGGACTGAAGCACCTCCTGTATGAAGACAGGCTGAGAAAGTAGGGGCTGTTCAGCCTGGAGAAGGCTGAGTGGAGACCTCATAGCAGCCTTCCAGTATCTGAAGGGGGCCTATAAGGGTGCTAGGGAGGGACTCTTCATTAGGGACTGAAATGGTAGGACAAGGGGTAATGTGGTCAAACTTAAACAGGGGAAGTTTAGTTCAGATATAAGGAAGGAAGAAGTTCTTTACTGTGAGGGTGGTGAGGCACTGGAATGGGTTGCCCAAAGAAGTTGTGAATGCTCCATCCCTGGCGCTGTTCAAGGCCAGGTTGGACAGACCCTTGGCTGACTAGTATAAGATGTCCCTGCCTTAAGGATCTTAAGGTCCTTTCCAACCCTAACTATTCTATGATTCTATGATTATACAGTTCTATACTCTTAGTGCCAGCTTTGGTATCCGTTCTACAAGCCTTCTCCCAGTTTCTGAGATTTTTCTTAACATTAAAAGTTAATTCATTCCTGCCACTAAAAGTAAGAATAGTATTTGTTGTCGTATTTCCCCAAATAACCAGTATCCTTTGAACAGATTACCACCATTAATTGAAGGTTGTGGAGAGAAACAGTTTCCTCTAAAGATTTTTCCTAGATTATTATTAAGAAAAGTATCAAATGCAAGCACATTTTACATTTCCTTTTCAGCAGCAGGAAGTACAACATTCCTTTCATCTCTTTCTGCAACAGCGGTAAGCAACTGTGGCAGCGGGAGCAGTAGAAGCCTAGGTCTGTTTGATACACACTGCCACAAAAGGAGGTGGCTTGCCCTCTGGAGACAGCAATTACTACGCAAGCAATTTCCCCTCCCATCTCCTTCACGGAAAAGCTCAACAGAAACACGTCAAGGCTCCCTTGTTAGATCATGCTAGTTTAGAAACAGCAGTAGCAGTTTTCTTTCTAGCAGTGCTATGCATAAACAGTTTACAAATTCAAAACTTCAAAAGACTGCTCTTACTAAATCATCCCCTATAGTCATGTCTATTTTGCTTAATTACTGATAATAAAGAACACATATTGGGATTAAAAGTGAGGTTTGAATTAATGTTTTTCAGAGGAACAGAACAATGGACCTAATACCTCAAATCTCTGATTGCTGACTTTCTTTCCCTTCTTGTTCCAGACAATTTTAGGTCTTGGATCTCCTGTGGCTTGACAGATGAACGAGGCAACTCCTCCAGAAACCCCTGTCTGGTCAACGGGAGTTCTTGTAAACTTTGGTGGTGCTGAAACAAATAAAATAACACATAGTAAGCATAAAAAGTAAGCCATGTCAGAATATCAAAATGAAAAAAAGAAGGAAATATATTGTTTCTCCAGTGACAGTATTCACCTGCATGAGAAAGCATTAGAAGAATACCTAAAAGCTCAGGAAAGTACTTACACATTTTACTAGTGAAATGTATATTAAAACAGAAATCTGATAGCATCAGAATAGCAAGATCACAAATTATATTTTTTGACCATTATAAATGAAAACCAAAATTTGTCTTCTGTTGCAAAATGAGCTCATCAATCAGCTGGAATAAAATCATGTTTTGTTACTTGATGTTATGATCACAGGATGTCACAAAAAAAGGATTCCCACCTTTAAGCCATTAAAATGAGTGACATTTAGGAGAAAGTGTTTATAAGTTCACAGCGGTGGAGGGAAATTACTATGTATTAAGAGTCCATGTCTAAAGGACTGTAACAGAAGAGAGAATTATGCTTGGACACAGTTTCATGTATTGCTCTTGTTCACTCCCAAATTATTCCACTCTGTCAGAAAGACTCAGATCCAACTACTGGAACAACAGGAGAGGAGAAAGAAATGGAGAAATAATTTTAAAAGTAGGAAAAGGCATTTTAATTATTACCTAACCTTTTATTTCCTTATATTTTCCTTCCACAACTAAAATTAATTTATCAGCCTTGTGGTGAAACAAAGCCTTTGAAAAACCACAAAGACAAGACAGGACTTCTACAGATTTAATATAAAAATAGATGAGATTATGTCTAACCACAGTACAGAAATGTTGAAGAGTTGCTGTAAATATTTACATCATTCTCTTTCTTAGATGAGAAATTTTAGAGATCCAATACACTTCAAGATACTGATTTGAATGCTGTGAAGAGAATACATTCTCAGTTTTAACTCATTATATGTAGCTGCTCTATAGCAGATGTTGCAATGATTTTTTTGCTCTCATCTTCTACTTTCAACCATCAGCTCCTTTCTGTTCTCAATTTCTTTGCTCTTATTCACTTTCCTCTCTTAGTTCTGACCGTTATGTACTCATACCGTACTAGCTTTAATTTCTAAGTTGCTGCACTTCACTTCGGATGTCTGTTGTGGTTTAAACTCTAGCCAGACAGCTTGTTCACTCACTCACAGTGAGTGGTAACGGGCTGAGAGCAATCAAGGCCCTCCATCCCCTCCAGGGCTCTCCCCTTCCCCGCTCCCAGAGGAACGGGGAGGAGGATTGAAAGAGTGTTGAGACAAGAACAGTCCAGCAACCAATGTACAACACAAATCACCACCGCTACTACCAACGACAACAATGATAAGAGAAAATAACAAGGGAAGATAATACAATACCACCGGCCAAGAAACGAGTCCCACCCGGAAGCCCGTGTCCTTCCGGGTAACTCCCACTTACCCCCCACCCCGGGCATGACGTGCTGTGGTATGGAATACCTCCCTGGCTAGCCCGGGTCAGGCGCCCCATCTCTGCTTCCTCCCGGCTTCCCCTCCTCCCTGGCAGAGCATGAGCCTCACAACGTCCTTGGTCAGGGTAAACATCCCTTAGCAACAACCAAAAACATCGGTATCACCAGCACTGTTCCCAGGCTGGAAGTCAAAACACAGCACTGCACCAGCTACCACGAAGGAGAAACATGACTGCTACTGCTGAACCCAGGACATTATCCACCCCTTATTCCATACCATTCATGTCATGCTCAGATCCCACATGTTCAATACACCATCACTCGACCACATATATACATCCATATACACACAGACCAAGAGAAAGAGATCATTTTCTTAGTGCGTGGACCAATCCCTATAATGCTGCCGAGTCCATTCGGTCCATGATGTCAGGTTCCATCTCTTGTAACAATCTTTCAGGGCAGGAAAGGCTGTGTGAAGTATTGGATCGTTGCCTGCTGATGCTGGTCGTTCCTTTACTGCGGAAATCATCCGGTTCTATCAAAGTTCATTCTCCATTGGGACGATGGTTGGAGGGAAGTCAGGGCCAGTCGCTGGTGACCTGGAGACATCTAGTTGATGGGCTATAAAAATATTACATAGCAGGAAACAGCATACAATTAAGTTCATTGGCTGTTTTCCCCTAAAATGAAATCCCCTTGAGGTATACATCGGACTTCCCCATCTTCCCGCATTACCCACCAAGTATATCCAGGTCCCTAAGCAAAAGCAATCCCATGAGTGGGTTTGCCTTTACCTGAAGCAGGAATAACCCAGACTGTCTTCCCCAGCAAATTCTTCATATGCACCACGGGATCTTTGTCCCCCTCTACAATATGTAAAAGTTCTGACTGGGCTGGGCCGGCCCTGTTGGCAGAACCTCTGGTGTTGACCAACCAGGTGGCCTTTGGTAAGTGTGTATCCCAATGCTTGAAAGTTCCCCCACCCATTGCTCTCAGTGTAGTTTTTAACAGCCCATTCTACTGTTTGATTTTCCCAGAGGCTGGTGCATGGTAGGGGATGTGATATACCCACTCAATGCCATGCACTTTGGCCCAAATATCTATAAGGTTATTTCGGAAATGAGTCCCATTGTCTGACTCAATTCTCTCTGGGGTGCCGTGTCGCCACAAAATCTGTTTCTCAAGGCCCAGGACAGTGTTCTGGGCAGTGGCATGGGGCACAGCGTATGTTTTCAGCCACCCGGTGATTGCTTCCACCATGGTAAGAACATGGCGCTTGCCTTGGCGGGCTGTCGGCAGTGTGATATAGTCAATCTGCCAGGCCTCCCCATATTTATACTTCAACCATCGTCCTCCATACCAAAGAGGCTTTAACCACTTGGCTTGTTTAATTGCAGCACATGTTTCACACTCATGAATAACCTGGGCAAAAGTGTCCACTGTTAAGTCCACCCCTCGATCACGGGCCCATCTATATGTTGCATCTCTGCCCTGATGGCCTGAAGTGTCATGGGCCCACCGGGCCAAAAATAATTCACCTTTATGTTGCCAATCTAAGTCCATCTGAGCCACTTCAATCTTAGCCGCTTTATCCACTTGTTGGTTGTTCTGGTGTTCCTCAGTGGCCCGACTCTTGGGTACATGGGCATCTACATGACGTACCTTCACCACCAGGTTCTGCACCCAGGCAGCAATATCTTTCCATAGTGCAGCAGCCCGGATGGGTTTACCTCTGCATTGCCAGTTGCTCTGCTTCCATTGCTTCAACCACCCCCACAGGGCGTTTGCCACCATCCATGAGTCAGTATAGAGATAAAGTACTGGCCACTTTTCTTGTTCAGCAATGTCCAAGGCAAGCTGGATGGCTTTCACCTCGGCAAACTGACTCGATTCACCCTCTCCTTCAGCAGTTTCTGCAACTTGTTGTCGAGGACTCCATACAGCTGCCTTCCATCTCCGATGCTTTCCCACAATACGGCAAGAGCCATCAGTAAACAAGGCATATTGCTTTTCACTTTCTGACAGTTTATTATATGGTGGGGCCTCTTCAGCATGCATCGCCTCCTCCTTTGGTGACGTTCCAAAATCTTTGCCCTCTGGCCAGTTCACGATGACTTCTAGAATGCCTGGACGACTGAGATTTCCTATTCGAGTTCGTTGTGTAATTAGTGCAGCCCATTTACTCCATGTAGCATCAGTTGCATGATGTGTAGAGGAGACCCTGCCTTTGAACATCCAGCCCAGCACGGGCAACCGGGGTGCCAGGAGGAGCTGTGCTTCAGTGCCAATCACTTCCGAAGCAGCTCGAACCCCTTCATAGGCTGCCAGTATCTCTTTCTCAGTTGGGGTATAGCTGGCCTCAGATCCTTTGTATCCCCGACTCCAAAAGCCGAGGGGTCGACCTCGAGTCTCCCCTGGAGCTTTCTGCCAGAGGCTCCAGGTAGCACTGTTCTCCCCAGCTGCAGTGTACAGTACATTTTTTACATCTGGCTCGGTCCAGACTGGTCCAAGGGCTACTGCATGAACTATCTCACATTTAATTTGCTCAAAGGCTTGTTGTTACTCAAGGCCCCATTTAAAATCATTCTTCTTCCAGGTCACATGATAGAGAGGGCTTACAATTGAACTGTAATTTGGGATGTGAATTCTCCATAACCCCACAGCGCCCAAGAAAGCTTGCGTTTCTTTCTTATTAGTTGGTGGAGATATTCCTGTTATCTTGTTGATCACATCTGTGGGGATCTGCCTACGTCCATCTTGCCATTTTATTCCCAAAAATTGAATCTCCTGTGCAGGTCCCTTGACCTTACCCTGTTTTATGGCAAAACCAGCTTTCATCAGGATTTGGATTATTTTCCTCCCTTTCTCAAAGACTTCTTCCGCTGTATCACCCCGCCTCACACAATAATGTCATCAATGTACTGCAGGTGTTCTGGAGCTTGCCCCTGTTCCAGTGCAGTCTGGATCAGTCCATGGCAAATGGTAGGGCTATGTTTCCACTCCTGGGGCAGTCGGTTCCAAGTGAACTGGACATCCCTCCAAGTAAAAGCAAACTGTGGCCTGACTCTGCTGCCAAAGGAATTGAGAAAAATGCATTGGCAATATCAATCGTGGCATACCACTTGGCTGCCTTTGACTCTAGTTCATACTGAAGTTCTAGCATGTCCGGTACGGCAGCACTCAATGGTGGTGTGACTTTGTTCAGGCCACGATAGTCTACTGTTAGTCTCCATTCTCCATTGGACTTTCACACTGGCCATATGGGGCTATTAAAGTGTGAGTGGGTCCTCCTGATCACTCCCTGACTCTCCAGTCTACTGATCAGCTGATGGATGGAAATCAGGGAGTCTCGGTTGGTACGATATTGCCACCGGTGCACTGTTGTGGTCGCAATTGGCACCTGTTGTTCTTCGACTTTCAGTAACCCCACAGCAGAGGGATCCTCTGAAAGACCAGGCAACGTGGACAGCTGCTCAATTTCCTCAGTCTCCAAAGCAGCAATACCAAAAGCCCACCGCTACCCTTTTGGGTCTTTGAAGTACCCTCTCTTGAGGTAGTCTATGCCGAGGAT